TCTATTATGTACAAATTACATTATTCTAAAACGAAAACTTGTGATTCTTCTAAAGCATGAAAGTATGACCTTAAACACTAGTATATATATTATATTTCTTTTAATGCCTTTTTAAAAGTAATATTTGGTATTTACGGCTAGGAAATTAAAGTTTATCTATTTGTATTTTTCAAAAAGATTGGAATTCCTTTTCAAAGAAAATGATAAATTCCCCATTTTAGGTGGATTTAGTGGAAAAATGAACCAAATGGTTTGATTTGCAATTAAGGCCCTGTTTGATAGAGTTTATTTTCCATAGAGGTTGGAAATTATTTTTCATTTTTCAAATTATTGCATATTTGATTGGCCAAAAATTCCATGGAATTGGTTTTCCTCCTTAAGCTCCACGCGACCCCCTTTTTTGGCCTTTCCTTAAATTGGTTTTTCCACTACTTTGGTGGAAAAATGGTTTTCTAGGCTGCCTTTTTTTTTTTGTGACAATTGAAACAAATTCTATCCCCAATGGTAACAAAATCTATTCTTTTACTGGACAATTTCCATGGAAAACAATGCAAAACGAACACCAAAAAATCCAAAATTTCAACATTTTTCAGGTAGAAAATTATATCAATCAAACACAATTAATTGACAATTTTTAGTAAAACAAGTTTTAGGCAATTCAATTCCCTGAAATTCTTTTTTTTTTCCACCCAAATTTCATTCTTGCAATCAAACGGACCCTAAGTGAAAAATTGGATGTCTCATGCTTTAAAAGGTTGATAGTATATTAATAAACAAGGTTCTACAATACGTAATACGTGACAACATGTTCGATCAAACATCAAGTATTACAATCATATGCGTGCTTGTGCGAAGTATATAAATAATTATGCATTTTTTTAATTTTTAATATTATTTTAAATATTCTAAACTAATAAATAAATAAAATAATGCATTCTTTGAATTTTATAAATATACTTTAATTTTTTTAAAAAAATATTGCATAATAATAAATACTACAATTACTTAAACTTTATACATATTTTTCAAATTTTCAACAAAAATATATTGCAAAATCATAAATACTAAATTACTTGGTATTAATTTCTACAATTAGATTAGACACGAATACCGACTTAAAAAATGAAAAATACATTTTCAAGTTTCTGCATCTCGATAAAGATCTCGGCATTAAAACTAAAGAAAGGCCAAAGAAGAAGGAGCCTCATGCTTAGCATATATAGTTTGCAACTTTGCGAAATATTTATTTTGATTTTTCTAAATGTCAGAACCCTACAAATTGTTGTATATATTTCATATATCTGTATTATTTTTTATAAGGGAAGAATACATAACTGCCTAAGTTTAAATATACATTTATGAGAAACTTGAGATTTTCTTTATGTAGTTAATTAAATAAGTAATTAAATAGATAATTAAATATGTTATGATCACAATATCGTACAACTAGTCACAGTTACGTAATAGCCACAATCATATAATATTATAGTCACAAATTACAAATTTTATAGATCACAAATAACAAATTTTATAAGTCACGGATTATTAAATTAATGTATCGTGCATTATTTCTCAATCACAATTCACAAAATTTATAAGTCACAAATTATCAAATTTATAGCCAAGTTTTATTTCTCGATCACAAATCACAAATTTTATAAAACACAACTTATTTCACAATCACAAATTATTAAATTAATTGGTCAATTTTTATTGTTGGGTCACAAATAAATAAATCGTGAATCACACTTTGGTCGTGCTCTCACATTTTTTAGAACACCCACAATTTATTGGTCACAAATTAATTATTTTATCAATCGTAATGACTCAAATAATTGGTTACACATACCCCACCTTGCCCCCACAACCACCTTCAACCGACCTCACCACTACCATCATTTGCAAACCACCAACAAATATCAACCCCAAAACTCCATATAAACATATTGAAAGAGGAAGAAACCACCCTCGTGACTAAGATTCAATCTTGCAACATAGACCCTAAAAATAGTCACTGTCGAAAAATCGAGATTTTTAACAAGCTCCTAACACCATTGCCTCTGTCACAGTCGTCGCAACCCCATTCTTCTATTTCTTACACATTCTTCCTCCTGCACTCTCCCACCACCACCGCTTCATTCCTCATCGGCATCGCCATAGGCATCGCCTTCCTTTATCAGGCTGACTTACCTTCATCTTCTATGCTAACCAGATCTTTGAAAAATGAGTTGGATTTTATTTTTGTTGGGTTCAAGTTACCTTTTTGAAGTTATAAAAATGAGTTGGATTTTGCTACGTTAATTTGGACATAATTTTTAGCATAGAGACGTACACATTTTAACGTTTAAGCATATTTATACAATCAACAAAATGGATCAACAACATTATTTAATGTGTACCCTATTTACGAGAAGTCTCAAAAATACCCCTCGCATATGTGCACATTTTGAGCTTGTTTGGTAGAGATTAAGATCGAATTAAAATTAAAAAACTAGTCGTTATTGTTGACTTTTATTAGATGAGTGAGACCCAATAACGACTATATTTTTAATTTTAATTCCTCCCAAACAAACTATTAATAACAGTAATAATAAGCCAATTTATAACAAAGAAGTCAATAGACTACAAAGTACAAACTATGCCCTTCTAGACCCAAAAACCCTGAGAATTTTATTTGGGAAATTATAAAAAATCAGGGATTTAAAGTTTACTTTTTAAAAATCAGGTGCAAAGTTTGTTTAATCAAAAATCAGGTAATATATTAAAACATAACCCTAATCCCAAACAAAACCTAAATCATTTCTATTCTATTCCTCATCTTCATTATCGTCTCCCTCTCTACCCTCTTCCTCATCGCCGTCGCCACCGCGCCTCCGCCTCCCCCCTCACCAGATAATCGCTGCTGTCCCCAGCAGCAATTTCGCTGCTCCCAACAGCAGAGATTTCGCTGCCTTTTAGTTTTTTTTTCTTCTTCTGTGTTCTCTAGTAGTGCAGTGGTGGTGCTGTGGGTGTGTGTTGTGGAGGTAGCAGCGGCGGATCTGTTGGTGGTTGGATTGTTGTCTTTCTTTCTTTCTTTCTTTCTTTTTTTGCTATTGAGTGATGTGCTGTGCGTTGGTGGTTATTGTTGGTGGATCTATGGTGGTGGTGGCGGTGGTGGTCGTGTGGCGGGGACAACGACGTTGGTGGTTATTGTTGGTGGTGTGTGACCAAGTATTTGGTTATCTGTGACTAAATATTTAATCTGTGACCTAAAAATTTTGACAATGTGACTGAAAAATAATATGTGACCAA